GTTATAGTAGTTAGTAGAACATGATAACATAATCCGTATTCCCCCTTTCGAATTTTGGTCTATTCCTTGATTCTCTTTGTATGTGAACCTTTTCGCTCTTAACACCTACTGTATTCTTATAAAATTCGGAGGAATTTAGGGTTCGGATAAGATAGAATCATCACCCGTATTTTGAGTTTAGAGATTGGTGGTGAAATCTTGCTCTTCCAAGTTTGAACTTTTTTTTTCCTTTCATGTTGGATCCTTTGATTGGACAGTTTATAAAGATTTGATAGAAGTTTTTTCCTTTTTATTGTTCTCCAATATTTTAGTTTAGTTTATGTATATATTCTTCTCAAACCAGCTGTTATAAGTGGAACCCTGTTCATATTTATACATATACTGTTTGGGAACTTAACTTTTTCTCTTTGAGTTACTTCTGTGGATGAGTTTTATCCATCTAATTGGATTTGGCTTAAAAGTGGGACACCTTCTTCTGATGCTATGTTGCTCGTTTCTATCAGTGATCTCCGTGAATCGTTTCACTAATTGTATAGAGATGAAGCCTAAAAGTGGTGTGAAGATTTGGATGAAATTTCTTGAGATCTTTTCAGGGAACGCTTGCAAGATCCATCATCACTACTATCAATATATTGGTTCAAGGGAAGTTAGAAAAGCATGGTCGAGGAAGCTCTTGATCTTATGGTTTGTATTTGGTACAATTCTTTCTTTGTGGTTCTTTTGGTATCTGAGATCTCAAGCTATGGAAAAGAGGAAAGAAACATTAGCGAATATGTGCGATGAAAGAGCTAGAATGCTTCAAGATCAGTTCAATGTCAGCATGAATCATGTTCAAGCTTCGATTTTGATCTCAACTTTTCACCATGGTAAAAACCCTTCAGCAATTGATCAGGTACCTTTTTTATTCGTTACTCCATATACATATACATAGTATTAGGCATACGCATAATAAGTGAAAATTTTCATTTTTAGTGCTTAATTCCCCCTTATCCCATCTGGGTTTTCCATTTACTCGAATTAGGGTTTCGTAATTAGACAGTTTTAATCAAACACCACCATATGATTACACAACAGGATACGTTTGCAAGGTACACGGAAAGAACTGCTTTTGAGAGGCCACTTACAAGTGGGGTGGCGTATGCAGTAAGAGTACTTCATTCAGAAAGAGAAGAATTTGAGAAGCAACACGGATGGAGCATAAAAAAGATGACCCCAGTTAATAAAGACGAGTATAACCCTGAAGAATTGGAGCCATCACCCATTCAACAAGAATATGCCCCTGTTATCTTTGCACAAGATACTGTTGCTCATGTCATTTCTCTTGATATGATGTCTGGCAAGGTATACACATTACACACCATATATACATGTCATCATGAAACACAAAAAATAAAAAAAACAAATTGTATAATTAATTTTTTTAATTTTATTTTATTTACAGGAAGATCGTGAAAACGTATTGCGTGCAAGGGCATTAGGAAAAGGTGTCCTGACAGCCCCTTTGGATCTTATAAAGTCAAACCGTCTTGGAGTTATATTGACTTTTGCGGTTTATAAACGCGATCTTCCCTCCAACGCGACACCAGAGGAAAGAATCGAAGCAACTGATGGGTAAATTTTTATCAAATTTATGACAAAAATTTCATGAGATCTCGAGTGAATCTTTTTTATATGCAGGTATCTTGGTGGAGTTTTTGATATTGAATCGTTGGTGGAGAAGTTACTTCAACAACTTGCAAGCAAGCAAACGATTTATGTGAATGTTTTTGATACGACTAATATATCAAATCCTATTAGTATGTATGGTACCAATGTTTTAGACACTGGTTTGCAACATGTTAGCCCTCTCAACTTTGGTGACCCCTCAAGAAAGCATGAGATGCGTTGCAGGTAAAACTCAAGAAATAGAATTTTGAAAGCATAAATTATGAAATTACACTTCTATAATAGGTTAGGATTCTTATAGTATAATGTGCATTTAGAAAGTAAATAGAATTAACATAAAGTGTGATGTTTTGTTTTTGGTCATACAGATTCAAACAAAAACCACCATGGCAAATCTTGGCAATATCAACTGCTTTTGGAATCATTGTGATCACATTACTTGTTGGACATATCTTTCATGCAACTGTAAATAGAATAGCCAAAGTTGAAGATGATTATCACGAGATGTCAGAGCTCAAAATACGCGCTGAGGCTGCTGACGTGGCAAAATCACAGGTATTTTCATTCACCCATTTGTTTACTCGTATGTCTTAATGATTAACAAACGTTCTAAATCTTTTTTTTTTAAACATTTCAATTTATTGTAGTTTCTCGCTACTGTTTCCCACGAGATTAGAACTCCAATGAACGGTGTTCTTGGTAAGTTAAGTTATATTTCACAAAAAAAATTCTGTATAAGGAAAAAAAGCCCATAAATTTAAGTAAACGGTTTTTCTTGTTTGGAAATTAGGGATGTTGGATATGCTGATGGACACTGTTCTTGATGTAACACAACAAGATTATGTTAGAACAGCTCAAGCAAGTGGAAAAGCTCTTGTTTCACTCATAAATGCAGTTCTTGATCAAGCCAAAATTGAATCTGGTAAACTGGAGCTTGAGGCTGTCTGCTTTGATCTTCGAGCTATATTGGATGATGTTTTGTCATTGTTTTCAGGCAAGTCTCAAGAAAAGGGAATCGAGGTCAGCATTTTTTATGTTTTATATTTTCTTCCACATATTTTAATGGGTTAATCTCATAAAAGACTTATATTTTGTGTTTTTTCCGGATTAAACCTCAAGTTTATTTTTTTTCCTCAAAAAGACATTTTTTCATTTGTTCCGAAAAACCCTCAACTTCATCTTATTTTCCCAAAAAAACCCTCAACTTTCAAACTATTTCTGAAAAGACCCTCAACTTTTTTATTTTTCCCCGAAAACCCTCACATTTTACTAGTTTTTTCGGAAAAAAAAATGACTAAAAGGGTCGGACGAAAAAAAATGAAAAAATGCAAGGTCTTTTTTAAGAAAAAAAAAACAAAAGTTCATGTTTAATCTGGAAAAGACACAAAATATAAGGTCTTTTATGAGATTAACCCTATTTTAATCGTTTAAAACAATATTTGACTCGTTTTCTATTTTCGGCTACTTGTAGTTGGCGGTTTACATATCCGAGAAGGTTCCGGAAACTTTGATCGGTGATCCAGGGCGATTTCGTCAAATCATCACAAATCTCATGGGGAATTCTATTAAGGTAGGATGCATTTTGTTAAAGAGAAAATCACAACAATGACCACAGTGGGGGACAAATTACCGCATATTTCACAACAAAATTAGTTTTTGCTGCAAAATTGCTTTTTGAATAATGAATGGCCCCCGTCACAAACAACAAATTCTATGAAAAATCAATGTATAAAAATTGAAAAACAGTTTTTATTTAATTTTTTGTGGTTTTAATATGGTCATTTGTGTGAAAATTGAAAAAAATATGGTGAGGTTGGTAAAAATCCTTTCCCCATTTGAGGTCATTTTTGTTATAATAATCTATTATAATAAGTTGATTTATGAGATGAGTAATTGTGGTTTTAATAAATATGTGAACTAGTTCACGGAGAAAGGGCACATCTTTGTAACGGTGCATCTTGTTGAAGAAGTAATGGAGTCGATAGGAGTAGAAACGGAACCATCAAAAAAAGACACATTGAGTGGACTGCCTGTAGCCGATAGAAACCGAAGCTGGGAGGGGTTCAGACCTGCAATGGGAATATCCGATTCCATTACTTTGATCGTATCAGTCGAGGACACCGGCATCGGAATCCCAACCGAAGCCCAACCTCGGATCTTTACTCCATTTATGCAAGTGGGCCCCTCCATTTCCCGTATACATGGAGGAACCGGAATCGGGTTAAGCATCAGCAAGTGTTTAGTCAACTTAATGAACGGTGAGATCGGGTTCCATAGCATCCCCAAGATCGGGTCTACTTTCACCTTCACCGCTGTTTTCGGGTTCGATAGCATCCCAAAAGTCAACGGCCAGTCAAAATCAGAGTTTCGTGGCATGAAAGCAATCATTGTCGACCCGAGACACGTACGGGCCGAGGTATCAAGATATCACATCCAACGGTTAGGAATGAAAGTAGAAATCATCCCGAGTTTGATCAACAACTCGGTGTCCACAAACGCAAGTAAAGTCATTTTTTTAATCGAAGAGGATGTTTTGGATCAAGATTCAAGAACAACAACTGTAAACCACAAGATTCCGGCGAAGATGTTTCTGTTAACGAATTCAATCGGTGGGTCCTGGAAAACCGGGCTCCCGGTGATCACGAAGCCGTTGAGGGTGAGCATGTTGGCGGCGGCGTTACAGCGGGCGATGGGCGGCGGAAGCAGTGTGAGAAACGGGGAGGTCCCGAAGGTGTCTTTGTCAAAGTTGTTGGTTGGCCGGAAAATATTGGTGGTGGATGATAATAATGTCAACCTTCGGGTGGCGGCAGGGGCGTTGAAGAAGTATGGGGCGGAGGTGGTGTGTGCTGATAGCGGGAGGAAGGCTATCTCGCTGCTAGAACCGCCTCATTCCTTTGATGCTTGTTTCATGGATATTCAAATGCCGGAAATGGATGGGTAATATATAATATATAGCAATGTACTTTTTTTGTTTATTTGTTTATTACTATAGATTTATTGTTACTTATAGCATTCTATTTTGGTTGCAGGTTTGAAGCAACAAGAATGATTCGGGAGGTGGAATACAGCATTAATAATCGTATGCAAAACGGGAATATATCCAAGTGGCATGTCCCGATTTTGGCTATGACTGCTGATGTGATTCAAGCTACACATGAACAATGCATTAACTCTGGAATGGATGGCTATGTTTCTAAGCCATTTGAAGCCAATCAACTTTATCAAGAAGTTTCTAGATTTTTCCTATAGTTGGATGAACCTCAACCCCACACACAAAATTAACGTGCGCCTGTTTTTTGAGGTGTTTTGGAAACGGGGTTCAAATTCTTCACGAAGGTAAGTTTCGTTATTATCATCAAGATTTGATCTTGTTATATTTGAGTTTTCCATGATTTACATCTCACATGATGGTTCTTGGCTTTGTAGATTGAATTTTATTGAATTTTGTATTTCAGGAAACTAGATGTGGTGACGATATAGTGTGTACATATGGAAGTCATTTATTGGTGGAGATTTGTATGTTTTGTAGAGCAAGTTAGATACAGAAACCAATTCATTTTCCTCCACGTTGTTTTGATCTATTCGGTGGTTGACTTTGTGTAGTCAACTCATGGACTCCGGTTGTTGTAGAGTTTGAATTAGTCATATGGCATCCCCACAAGAGAGGGTGAAGGAAGGAAGAAAGGAAGGAATGTATTGTGGTATATATTTGTTGTAAGTTGAAAATAAATACGGTTACATGTATTTAGTAGTAATATATACGTATGGAGTACAAGTTTCAGGTTGAAGGTGGTTTTAGGACACGCCGAAAGTTTATTTGATACACTTTGGTAAATTTGTGTAAATAAATATGCGAGCGAATTCGGTTGTCATTTTGAATTTGGAACAGTATGTAATGTTTTTCGTGGTCATTGTATGTAAATAGATTCCCTCATTAATGATGATGGCATCATATAGTAGGATGATTTGTCACTTCGCTACGTGTGCTTAGTTCTATCATCAAAGTGAATAATGACTCGCATATAATTGATTTAGAGAAAACTATTTATGTTGCAATTAGTTACACAACCCCATACCAAAACCAAAAGCAAAGTAAACGACAAGTTTATATACACAACCTCAATCGTAACACTAGAAATTAGTTAGACCAATTCACCATCGATTATACATATACTGATTCAACTCCTTGGATCACGTATTCATTACATCATTTTGAGAAGTTGACCCTCCTTGTAAACCTTCGCGTTCAGCCTGCAACATTGACAAACAATACCAATAAGAAATGAGTACAAAACTAGTCCCGTGTTGGTTGAAAGGTTAGCAATATTTCTTATAACATATCCCATGACAACTCCACAGTTAAGAATGTATAGATGAGAACAATAACAAGATTAATATATAATTGATATATATATATATATATATATATATATATATATATAGAGAGAGAGAGAGAGAGAGAGAGAGAGAGAGAGAGAGGCCCACCTTTGCTTGGCGGTATTTAAGAAGCATGCGGCGATATTGCTGACGCGCCTGTTGAGAGTCCACCATCGAAAGCACCCTAGAAACGGCTTCATCGATAGAAACATCCACTTTCTCTTTCCTAAACGCCTTCACAATATCTTCGTCTTCAGTTTCATCGCCCCCTTGTTTATATCCACGCAACCCCACTCCTTTGCGCCGCCACCTCAGCACAACTTTCTCAACAACCCCAACTGCCCAACAGAAAACCATATAGTTTTTCCTCACCTGATGACCCCGCACATGAGCCTAGAGACACACACACACCCAAACACAAAAACTGTAAAATGATGAATGAGAAATACAAATAAAAGTATTTTGACAACTTTTTTGACAACTTTTTGGCGAAATACATAACATAATAATGCAAATGCACCTGTATTTTGACAACTTTTTGGCGAAGTGCAAGGAAATCCTTACGCCCTTTCCAGCCACGGTATTTCTTCTGAATGGATAACGCGGCATTATAGTCATTTCCATTTTTGAGAAAAGTGGAAAGGGTTTCAATGTGACTTGGAAGCATTCCATACTCATCTTCTTCTTCGAGTTGGAATGATTCCTTTTGTTGTCTTTTTCTGAAGGAATGTGCCCTGAAAGCGGACTGTATACATGCAGCAGCCTGTGTTGCATTTCTAACAGCAGCTAATGTGTCCTTAAGTGAAAGATCTTCGTTTGAGATATTATTTGGATTTAGTGATGTTGTTTGTGGTTGGATATTATGAGATATTTGAGTTTGTAGGGATGGGTGGGTGGTTAGTGAGACCTCTGAGAGGTAGCCCGCAAGTCCTTTGTGTCCAGATGTTGCAGCTATTGAAGCTGGGGTTTTACCCTTTGGGTCTTCATGACTGGGATCCGTTACTGCTCCCGTAAAAGCACCCGCAGCTACCAGTTCAGCCACCATTTTTTCCCTGTTGAAATTCAACTCACAAAAGATTAATTAGGCTGGTGTTTTGTATGCTGGAATTGGAGAAAGAATGGTTGGAATGATTTTGTGTGATGGAAAACTTGTAATATATGACATGTTTATTTATAAAACTTTTAGGGGTTTAAATACCGAAACTACCAAAATGGGAGGCGTTAGAACACTATATAACCACCTTTTGGCAAACTATGTCTATCATAACGCAAAATGGATTTTGCAAAATTCTCAAAAATATTAATAATTTTGCAAAATAATAGCAAAAGGGGTGGTTATTTTGTAACATTTCCCTAAAGACGCCTCCCATGTTGATCAGTTAGTAATTTAAACCAATTTTTAGCGACAGATTTTTTTACAGCTAATGAGATTTTAATTAAATTATATTTTTATAAAATATTTTTTGTTATTATAAAATCTTATTTGGGTTTTCATGAGATTTTATAATGTTTTACCTTTTTAGTATCGTAAATAATAAATTTCATAATTAGGGAGTTATAGTTAAATATTATACCTGGTATTTAGTATTAGTATTTACAAATGATATAAAAATTCCAACCAAACAAGAATTATGAAATATAATGACTTATTTCATTTCATTTATATAAAGATAAGGATAAGGGCAAAGACCTTCCAAATCGAGCAGCCCAGTGAAGCGCTGTCCAGCCATTAATGTCGCGAAAGTTGACACCAACTCCAGAGTTAAGAATCGGGGTCAAGGCCCATCCAAAGCCCAATCCAGAAACCATATGTATAATCCCTTGTTCTCTTTTAGACAACAATCCAGAAGAAAGAAGAAGAAGAAGAAGAAGAAAAAAGCCATTGTTTTAACTTCTCTTTTAGAAGGTGTTCCAGAAGACAATCAATTGCATCATATGACGCCAAACTTCCATCTAAAACACCCTCTATCAATTGAGACCACGACTCTTCTACTTCCTCACCACCTTCTTTCTCAGATAATAACATTTGAACAAATCTCACAAGTAATAATAATTCTTCTGAACTTCTCCAAGATTTTTTGCCTCCTCTATGTTTTTCAAGGTATTCGAATTCACGGGTTTCACTGCATGATTCTCGATTGCCAGATGTAATACAAACAGTAACTTTTCCAGGTGGCAAAGGAGGAGCATAGCAACAAAGGACTCCCTCTTGAATAATCTCAATTGGGACTTCAGTCTCACCAAACATACAGTACCATTTGTTTTTGGATGTATCACTATCACATGTGAATTCCCCAATGATGAGCACCTGTGTATTAGTTAATTAATTAATTAAAAAAATATTATGGAAAGAGATAGTTGATATTCATTGCATCATGGAACGAGATTAATCAAAAAATATTACCTTTGTTGACTCAGATGCAGATCCCGATTCAGGTGCTATATCACGAATATTAAATTTCTGCTCTTGTGAAATGGTTAAACCTAAATTTGATTCGAGGGGCATTTCCGTCTGTCCTTGGTCAAAAAATGTTGAGTAAAAATCTGGGTATCTGTCAGACAAATTGCTAGCAGGGGTATATGCAGGAAATTTGAAATCTTCAATTTCTTGTGGCAGAGATGCTGCAGATGAGAATCGAATTGTTACATATTTCAAAGCTCGATGCCTGTAAAAAATGTATTGTATATAAAAATAAAAACATAATGGATAAAATACTAGACTTACGGTTATTATTTGCACCTTTCTCTTCAACTGGATTCCCACCATATTGTATGACATCATCCCAAATTAAAGTTTGTTGATTTGTAATAGAAACATCACCATAATCCTGGTCGTCAATTGAAAATCCTGAATCATTTGAAATCTCATTCTTGCTGTAATATAAACTCAGATCTTTCAAATTCTCTTCACCCAAACTCAACTGTTCTTCTATTCTTCTCAACGCCACATCAATTTCAAAGTTGTCAGTTCCTTCTATCAGACTCAAGGGACTTGTCCCATTTGACCTGGTGACCACATCTGAACTGACTTCTACAGAACTTGGACTAGAGGTGCTCTGACTAAAACCACCACCAGATCGACTTAGTGGAGTTGCATATGAATCAGGACTCTGAATAAGTGAAGAAGATCCTGTAGACAATGTTGAAATTGATCCACCACTATTCCCAGTCTGCAAATTATAATAATAGCAACTCGTATTTTATATGTCTATAAGTATAACATGTATATTATGTATTTATTGGTCAGTAGAAAGACTTACCATGGTTATATCTCTGTAATGAACAAGTACAATGTGGTCCATTGTCCTGTCACCATAAGATCAATCGTTAAAAGTTAAAACTAAGTCTAAGTTGCCATAAGGGAAAACTAAAAGAGATGAAAGAGACTCACGGATCCAACATCCAATAACTACGCCTTTGGAAGTTTGGATTCTGTTCACCATGTGCATAATAGCAATTTAGAGCTTCAACATTTCCAACCTATACAAAAAAATTGAATCAGAAAAATGATTATAAGCATGTATGAGAAGGAAGAAATGAATAGAAAAAACCTTTAGACGTTCATGGGCTTCCCCAACAGTTCTTCCATCCTTTTTTCTCCTCCAGTTATGACCGTCTTTACGGAAAAACCTAAGCACCCTTTTGTTAAAGAGAAACAAGGAGCCACCTGTACAAGCATTCAATCAAATTATACAAAACTGACATATCACTTGCACAAAAGTAAAAATGATGAGCATTACTGGGTGGCTTTTGAGGGGGCGCATGGGTAAGCTGCTTTTCCTCAAAATTCTGCAGTATGAAGAGCACCTCCCCCGGCTTTAACCACCGGATATGTGCTTCTCTAACAAGATCCCTGATGTTATACCCTGGGAATTGTATCAAAAAAGCAAGATGTAGAACCTCAAAGTCAGGAAAACTGCTTCATATTCATACATCCCAAAGACTGATTGGTACATATTAGCATCAACAACTCTACGATAAATAAATTATGTGTTCTAAATTCTAATTGCGTGTGATTAAGGATGTGATACCATTTAATGCGTTCAACAGTGGATAAACTAAATCAATTACATTCACATAATTTTCAACGACTCAGCATACGAATGTAAGCTCAATTCACGAAGCTTATTCATACAAGCAGCATTCAACAAGTTACGCAGATGAAAATCCTTTTAACTAAATTGGGGAAATCAAAATCTCACCTGACGTCATCATTCCTATACACTTCGAAGGACAGAAAAGAAGAGAGTCAGAGATTCTAATTCGTCAAGTAAATACCAAGCTTCGGAGTAAGTTGGTGTAACACTAGACAACTGCAGAGTACACCGGAAAGAGATCTGATGGCGACGTAGGACCTAAGATCGCTGCTTCCGACAAAGTATTTAAGTTGAAAACGTCAGATAACGCCCACGATTGACACCGGCACAAAAGCACAAACAAATACACATAGTATTTGTTTATTAGAATCCAGAAGAGGTGGTTGGTGGTGGTACGACGGAGGCACGAAAGCCCGGCGAAATGACCAGGTAGCAACGCCGGAACGGAGTTACGGTTTCATCATTTAAAATAGTAACTTTTTGTTGAATTTTATAAGTAAATTCTGTTTTTTTTGGGTCGACATACATGAAGTCAAGTCGACTACTAATTAACTATTTTCCTAGGAAAATATAAACAAAGAAATTAAATGCAATTATTTAACTTTTTTTGTAGGAAATAATAAACAAATAATATGAATTAGTGCACGGGTCACATTATATATATATATATATATATATATATATATATATATATATATATATATATATATATATATATATATATATAATCTAAAGATCTACATGACCATATCATGATATTAGTAATGGGACATTAAAAATTAAAAATTTTGAAATAAAAGAGATTGGTGAGTTATGCGAGTCAATGAGTAAAAATGCCCTAAAACAGCACTGTGGCCACAATAGCGGGCTAAAACACGACTTTGCCATTTTTCTCCAGACTTTTTTTTTACTCATATCTGATTATGATTTGCTGATCATAATACTGCTTCCATGATAATACTATGTGATATTATTTCATTTTACTGTTTATGAGTATATTCAGTAAATTCAAAAATAGTAATAAACAACTGATTAAAAATCAATTAATAGAAGAATATGAAGTACCAAAGAATCTAGACCTTCTTAATAAATGGACAATTCCTGGTATAACCCTAAATTAATATATGAATTAGGAACCTTTGAAGAACTAGGTTTATTCAAACTGTTAAAACTACAGAAGAGAATTTAACTATGAATGAAGATGATATGACAGTTCAATTAATAACCCCACAAGATATTGATAGATATAAATATATTTATAATTACTTACATATTGGTTTAGTACAAATTGCTTTTAAACCATTAACATTACAGGGGTTACCTGAAAGCTTTTTAGCAGTCCTTAGGGATGCTAGAAATAAAAATTGGAAACAATCTTTAATGGGTATAATAGAATCTAGTTTATCTCATGGACCGGTGTATTTTAATGTTTACCCAAATTTACAACTTTCCTTGTCTGATAAAAATATTTTTCAAGCTCTGACATTAAATGTCAAAACTCATGGTTATAATTATTTACCAGGTTCAGAAGTAATATGTATATGTTATCGTATATATTTTAAACCATTAAAAACTATGAATCCTAAATGTAAGAGAGTTAATAAACCTATAAATGAAACAACTTTGATAGAAAGTAATTTTGATATGTCAAAAATTACAACCAGAAAATCTATAAAATGGGATGGAATAAAATTTCCGCAACACTGTGTTTTAGAAAATAATGTACCACCCACACCTTTAGTAAATAATAATATAGAAAATATTATACAAACTTCTGATGACATCGTTACTATTGAGTTTAACAAAGAAATAGAAAATGAAAACGATCTAATAAAACGAACAAGATCTGCAAGATCTTCACATTCATACATATCACCACTAGATTATAAGGTAGAAGTCCCTTCTACTCGTGCTTCTGTTGATATTAGAAAAATAAATAATTTAAATATACATGATGATATTGTGTATGAGGCGGAGACATCTACTCCTTCTGAAATGAATTTTACAGTTTAATGGATTTAAAAGAAAAAATAGATTTTAGCCCTGGTTCTCAGGCAAGAAAAATTATTTCAGAAGAATTTTATTCAACTAAATGAACATTTTTTAAAGAATGGTTATTTAAAAATTATTCTAAAGAGGAGTTACAAGAAATACAAAATAAATTTTATGAATATTTATCCTCTATAAATCGAATTATACATTTTATTCCTTGGTTTACTTATACTTTTTTACATAATATTCACAACATAGAAAGAGATTATACTCTATCAGGAGACAAGATAATAACAAGTATATTTCCACCTCAAATCCCTTTTACAATCACAAATAACAATGTTACTATAAAATTTACGGCTTATCAAAAACTTTTTGAAGAAAAAACTCTTACAGTAGATATAAATCATATTAACAGTATGATTCAACAGCTAAATTTCCATAATTTATATTCTATAATATTGGGAGAACAGTTAATGGATTTAAATAAAAAATAGAAAAAATAAATAGTCAAAAAGATATAATAATACAGAAAAAAGACAAAGAAAAAATAAATGCCACTATTCAACCACCACCAAATATTACTGGTTATAAATTAAAAAATTACGATTATATGCTAGACATTATACAAGAACAAATGAAAAAATTACATATTAATACCATAAATAAAGACTCGGATAATGACTCAGATATAAATGATTCCCAAATAAATAAAATTAATAATTACGACAGTAAATTTGCTAGAAAGCCTGTTCAAAGAATGTATTATCATCCAAGGCCAAGCCCTCAAGATGTCCTACATGAGGAACAATAATATGAAATTAACAATAGTTATAGTGGTAAAAATGTCTATGAATGGAACTTAGATGGTTATACTGAAAGACAGATATATAATATGATTCATAGAATGTTAATGTATAGTACAATCGCTAAAAATACAGGAAATAGTGATAGACAAGTAGCTAATATGCTAATTGCTGGATTTACTGGCCAATTAAAAGGTTGGTGGGACAACTATGTGGATGAAAAAACTCAACAAGGTATTCTTAATACAGTTAAAATAGAAAATGGGATTACTACTTCTAATGTAGTTTATACCCTTACTTGTACTATAATAGAACATTTCACAGGAAGATGGTCAGACAATTCTGAAAACATTCGTACTCTATTAAACGGATTATTTTGTAAAACTCTTACATCCTTTAGATGGTATAAGGATACTTTTTTAAGCAGGGTAATGGAGCTCAATGATTGTAATAGTGTTTATTGGAAAATCTAAATTCATAGATGGCTTGCCAAATCTTTTTGCTGAAAGAGTAAAAAACCAATTAAGAATAGATAATACAATTCCTTACGAAGATTATACGTATGGAAAATTAATAGGAACCTGTATACAGGAAGGCTCAGCCTTATGTAGTGAAATAAAACTTAATCATCAAATTAAGACCCAACATCTTAATGAAAAACGACAACTAGGAGAATTTTGTGATCAATTCGGAATAGAAACTAATAGAAGTAAGAAAAAACAGAAAAAAGATTTTCAACAAAAGAAAAAATTTTACAAAAGAAAATATAATGATCCTAACAAAAATGATAAACACATAAAAAAGAAATTTATTAGAAAAGAAAACATTAATAAAAACCCCCTACTTGTTTTTCGTGTGGAAAAACAGCGCACTATGCTAATAAATGCAAAAATAAAAAGATAAAAAAACAAATTAATAACATGGACTTAAGTGAAGATATAAAGCTGCAATTAATAAATTTGATTGATAATTCTTCTTCTGAAGAAGAAATTTCAGATAATAATTCTGATAATATAATAGACTACCATTCTGATTATTCTTCAAAGTCTGAAGAAGATGAATGTCATTGTGATAATTTAGAACAATGTTCATGTAACATAGACCATCAGTTATACTTACTTCAATCTCAATTTAAAGAAAATTTAACCATAAATGTGATTAGCAATGATATAGCAAACTTATTAAAAGAAATTGATGATCCAGAAATAAGGCAAAAAATAATAGAAAATTTGAATACTAGGGAACAGAGTATTAAAGAAGAAGGGATCTATTCCATGAAAAACGTACAGGATATGCTAAAAGAAAGAAGAAATAAAAGTTGTGCTAATAAACCCACAGTACAGGATTTACAAGATGAAATTCAATCATTAAAACAGGACATATCTAAAATAAAAAATGACCAATTGATAAACAATCAACGAATTAATAGATTAGAAAAGCTACAAAATAAACATGACATTGGTACTAGTAATAATAATGATAATAGTTTCCTTCAGTCCATGGAACTAGTAATCTCTAGAAAATGGCATGTCACAGTCAGCTTATTTATTACTTACAATTATCAAAGAAATTTTGTTGCTTTAATAGATAGTGGTGCAGATCTAAACTGCATACGAGAAGGAATAATACCTACTAAATATTTTCAAAAATCAACACATACGTTGAGAGAAGTATCAGGTTCAAAATTGGATATTAGATATAAATTGACAGATGCAAAAATTTGTACAGAAAATACTTGTATACCTATTAATTTCACAGTAATTAAAAATATGACCAGCAATACAATGATTTTAGGAAATCCTTTTCTGGAAATGATACTTCCACTAACTATTGATAAAAATAAAATAATAGGATCTTATAAGAATCAACCTGTTATTTTAAATTTTGTCTCTGACCCTTATTCTATTTGGGTAAATGAGTTGGATTTAAAGAAAAACCAGATAAATTTTCTTAAAGAAGAAATTAGGACTGTTCAAATAGATGAACAGTTAGAACAACCTAGATTACAGGAAAAAATTAAACTTTTAACAAACCAATTTTCTTTAAAAATTTGTAATGAGCATCCTAATGCCTTTTAGGAAAGAAAAAAACATATAGTCATGCTTCCCTATGAGGAGGATTTCAATGAAAAACAGATTCCTACCAAGGCAAGACCTTGTCAGATGAATTTCGAATACTTAAATATATGTAAAAAGGAAATAGCTTCTTTATTAGATAAAAATTTAATACAGCCTTCTAAATCTCCATGGTCATGTACGGCGTTTTATGTTAACAAACATTCAGAACAAGAAAGAGGAATACCAAGACTAGTTATAAATTATAAGCCACTTAATAAGGTTTTAAAATGGATCAGATATCCTATTCCTAATAAAAAAGATTTATTAGATCGTTTACATGATTCTCTAATATTTTCAAAGTTTGATTTAAAATCAGGATATTGGCAAATCCAGATTGATAAAAAGGATAGATATAAGACTGCCTTTAATGTTCCTTTTGGGCAATATGAATGGAATGTTATGCCATTTGGCTTAAAAAATGCCCCTTCAGAATTTCAAAATATAATGAATGATATATTCAATCCTTATAGTAATTTTATTATAGTATATATAGATGATATCTTAGTATTTTCAAAAAATATTCAAGAACATTTTGATCATTTACATACTTTTGAAGCAATAATATTAAAAAATGGTTTAGTAATTTCACAATCTAAGATGTCTTTATTCCAAACAAATGTGAGATTTTTAGGTCATAATATTGAAAAAGGACAGGTCATTCCTATACAAAGAAGTATAGAGTTTGCTGAAAATTCCCAGATGAGATAAAAGATAAAACTCAGCTACAAAGATTTTTGGGTAGCCTAAACTATATATCACCTTTTTATAAAGATTTATCATCCGATAGTGCAATTTTATATGATAGATTAAAGAAGAATCCTTGTGCTTGGACTAATAATCATACCCAAGCAGTCAAAAGAATAAAAAATAAAGTAAAAAATCTACCATGTTTATCTTTGGCTAATCCAAATTGGGAAAAAATAGTTGAAACAGATGCCTCTGAAATAGGTTTTGGAGGAATCTTGAAACAAATTCACCCATAAATAGACAAGAATTCCTAGTTAGGTTCCATTCTGGAAAATGGATTCCTAGTCAAAAGAATTATTCTACTACTGCTAAAGAAATTTTGGCATTAGTAAAATGTATTCTTAAATTTCAAGATGATTTATATAATCAACATTTCATTATAAAAACAGATTGCCAAGCAGCTAAATTTATGTTTAATAAAGACTTTAAACATGATGTTTCCAAAAAAATGTTTACTAGATGCCAAGCTACCTTAGCATGTTTTGATTTTGAAATTCAATATAAAAAAGGAAGTGATAATAGTCTTCCAGATTTTTTAACTAGAGAATTTCTAAATGAGTCTCAACCATCTAAGACAATTATATCATGATATTATCGAAATAAAAAATTCAATTAAAGAGGCAGAAGTTAAATTAGCCAACCTAACTAATGAACCATATTATAGAAGAACAGTAATTAAACTAAGACTGATAGGATTAAGAATTCATCTTAACAATCTTGAAAACAAACTTATATTACTCTTGAATTAATATTATGAGTGACTCAAAATTACAAGTAAAGAATAATCTTCATTGTAAACAAATAAAGGCCTTAGATTCCTTTATCAAACGAAATAAAAAGGATAATAGGCCAATCACAAAAATTGACATACAAAGGTATAACATTATGTTCAAATATCTTCATAAGAAAATTTCTGAAACAACATGCTAACTTGCAGGATGAATCCCAATCGGGGAAGAGGCCATCCTTTATATAGGGGTGGTTATAATAGAGGTCGAGGAAATCCTACGGCTTCAAGCAGTTCTTATAGAGCTGGAACTTCATCGCAAGCAAACAATCAGCCCCTTCCAGTTCCTGGAAGCCCATTATATGAGGAATTTAAAGCATTTCTAGAAACAAAAAAGGAAAATATTCCTAGCTTCGCGCAAATGATTACAGATGGTGAAACCATCAATGATAATTTTGAATATAAAGAGTCATCTCATAAAGATAATATCATAATTTTAGAAAATAAAGATATCATGCTTTATTTTGAAAATAATGAAGATCCATGGTTTTTAATGACAAGATATTTAGATACAGCAACATACGCAGGGTATTCTTATAAACAAAGATTATATTATGAGAATATTTTAAAAATAACCGGATCGGTTGAATTTTCTCATTTTACATCCGGAGGTAATACCAACGTTTATAATTTTAGCAAAACTATTATCAAAAAGATTATATCTGCTGATGAATGGGGTCTGAGTACTCTCAAGGAGAAAGAATTTATAATTCCACCTTCAAAAATACCAATGAAATTTACATATTGGGATTATATTGAAAGTTTTCATAAAGCTTTCTTATATGAGAACCCTCAAAGAAAGCATACTTGGTTCTTTAAAGTATGTGAAAAGGTTTATAACCAAAACAAAGATATACCAAATTGGTTTACTAATTGGTGGATCTCATATGGTCCAAGTATAGATATTCTCCCGGAAGAACCATTCAGAAAATTATATGGTGAATGGCTACCAGTCTCTCCAAGATACCTGAAACAATCCATTCCTTTGAAATCAGAAGGACTAGAAGCAATATCTTCTATGCATTTTTTCATGGAATTTTCTATTCCTTGGATATGGAAATGGTCCCCACATGTGGATTATACTCCCACTAAATTTCCCTCTCTACAAAGATTATATTTTACAAAATTTTGGCCTAAAATGCTTCATAAAGATCCAGAAACAAAAGTTCTTAATGCCCAGGAAACAATTGATCATATCAAACAACAAACCAAAAAATACCAAGATCAGAAAAATTTCTCGGATATAACCCCCTCAACCCTCAAAATGTTAATCTAACTAAAGAAGAAATGATCAAATCATTCCGATTATATTGTTCTGAGATGAAGGAAACCTTAAACGCCTTGCAGAACATGATAATGTAAAAGATGGAGGTTCAAGTGATGAAATTTCAGATAACATGTCAATTGAAAACCAAAGCCAATCACAATGCTTAACAGGGGAATCCCAGGCAGAGGATGAGGAAATTCCAGATGGAGAACTTCCCATTGATTGCATGATTGACATGATCGAGGAGTCAATCACTCAAAGAAAGAATCTTTTCAAAAACAAGAGGACATCATCACAATAGACTCAAGATGCCAAATGTGTGATCCAAAATAAAAGAAGATAAAATTTCTCAGAAATTATTGAAGACAAAGGACAATATTCGTCAGAAATTATTAAAGACGGAGGATCCAAACAAAAAGTCATTTCTACTTTTTAAAAAAAAAGTTGTCTGCCAATGCTCAATGTAATAATTTATGTTTTGTTCGTTTTTGAGTTCTCCTAGTCTATTTAAGGAGACCCCTTCTTATGCTTAAGGGAGGCTTTGAGCCATTCTATCTTTCTCTCTTGTAATCTCCCCCCTGTAAAAATTTCTTTGCAATAAAAGTTCAGAAATATATTTGGAGTATACATCAATCTTGGATCCACCTTTCTGGTTAGTCTACTTCTTTAAACTTAATTTTATCTTTAAGCCTAATGCAAGGCTAACTTGTTAATATCACATAGTACTATCATGGAAGCAGTATTATGATCAGCAAATCATAATCAGATATGAGTAAAAAAAAAAAAAGTCTGGAGAAAAATGGCAAAGTCGTGTTTTAGCCCGCTATTGTGGCCACAGTGCTGTTTTAGGGCATTTTTACTCATTGACTCGCCTAACTCACCAAACTCTTTTATTTCAAAATTTTTAATTTTTAATGTCCCATTACTCATATCATGATATGGTCCTGTAGATCTTGGTATATATATATATATATATATATATATATATATATATATATATATATATATATATATAATCTAACCTAATAAATGAAAATCAATTTTGCCAAATGTCATGTTCTCATTGATTTTGCCACATGTCATTTTTTAAAATTTTTTGAATTATTTTTTTTCCACTTGTCCTTTTCTTGTAATTTTCATTTTCTTAAATTTAAAATCCATATTTTAGTGAGATTTATATATGTAAAGTAATCATTCTATTAAATTTCATAATAAATGCTTTACAATCTTTCAAATATCTTACATTATATATTAAATTACTTACTTGATTTATTATATTCTTTGTATTTATATAAACTTATTATTTTAAAAAATATGTAATTCTTATAATTTTATATTAAACTTTTTTTCTAAACTCATGTAATACATGGGATTCACACCTAGTATATATATATATATATATATATATATATATATATATATATATATATATATATATATATATATATAGGGGTGAGATCGGTTGAGAACTCATAGTTTCCCGAGAACTAAAAGTGGAGCGTTAGATCAAAACTAATTCATTAAGGGCATGATCGTAATTTTACCAATCTCATTTAATGTTTAATTTTGTGTGTTATTGGAAATATTAATAGAAATGTCTAAAAGTTTACATAATAATCAAATTTTCGGATTTAAAAAAAAAAATAGTATTTTTCATATTTTTTTAAAAAAGTTGCAGATTTTTTAATTTTTTATAGAAAATATGAATTTTTGAAAAAAAATTGAATTTTTTTTTTACATAAACTACATTTTTTTTAAAAACATTTAAAAATCATTAAAATTAAAAAAAAAACTGGAAAGTTTAAAAAAACTGAAAAATTTAAAAAATACTATAATTTTTTAACCAAAAAAATCAACATTTTAGGTACATATATGCATATTTTTACAAATGCATATATGTATATTTCATATGCCATAATATTTGTAAGGAAATCATAACAAAACTCATTTTATTTACTAATCTATAAACACAATAGAATAAATATTTTATTCGATACAAAATAAAATATAAAAAAATGCTACAAAATTTCAAAGCGTTTTCATGTCTTCGTGTCAATATTTTCATATTTTCTTCAATTTATCATTTTTCACCTCTTCAATATTCACCACAATTTCTTCCAAATCTACAAGAAAATTAAAAAAATCTGATTGATGCAAAAACACTCACAAAAATACATATGTGATTAACATATGAATCACAGACGATTCACATATGAATTACATGTGAATCACATATAATTCATATGTGAATTATATGTGATTCATATGTGAATTACATATGATTTACATGTGAATCACATGTAATTCATATGTGAATTACATGTGAATCACATGTAATTCATATGTGATTTACATGTGAATCACATGTAATTCATATGTAATTTAGATGTGATGCACATGTAATTCATATGTGATTCACTTGTGATTTACATTTGAATAACATGTGATTTAAATGTGAATTACATGTGATTCATATGTGAATTACATGTGATTTACATGTGAATCACATGTAATTCATATGTGATTCACTTGTGATTTACATGTAAATCACTAGACACTTATAGAAAATATGGAAATCTTGACAAAGAATGGATATACCTCTAGAAAGGTGATTTGAGGTTGTTTTCATTGCTGAGAGAGAGTAATTATATCTTTGAAGAATTTTTACAGCTAAAGCATCTGCAAGTTCTAATTTGTTTTCTATTTCTTCCTGCAGAAATAACCAACAACTATAACATTGTCTAAATTTATGGAAGTTTTTGATTTGATGTGAAGGAGTCTTTACTAGACATGAATGATTTGATCAAAAAGGTCAAAAAATGTGCTCTTTCAAACATGGATTTACTATTATAAAAAGCATACCTGTCTTTGTTGATGTTTTGAGCCTGTTTTTCTTTCCATTCTTGATACATTGAGAATAATTCCAGTAGCACTTTCCGATCTATAATAACTATTTCAAGCACAAGAAAAAAGATCAATAAAAAGTATGTAAAGGTGTTAATTATTGTTCGATGAAGATAAATGATTGTAACACAGTAACACCAATACCTGAATCAGAAGAAGATGATGGCTTCCTGACTAAAATTTCTGTCAAGCTGCTCTCTGTTGATGCAGATGTCGATATTGGAGTTGCCTGATCGAGCAGTATCACATAAAAGAAAGATCAATTTATGAATTAACAGCTATAATAACAGATAGTTTCGGATTATTCCCAATTTGTAACAAAATTGACCTCGGTGTTGCGTCAATTTTGAACTGATAGATAAAACTCTTAATGAAGTAATACAAATTGATTACTTGTAGCGATGAATTTATGATTTTGGCAACAGAAGAAATAGACACACATTGATTATACATCTGAGTTCTTATACTCGTATAACACTTGTAGGATTTATGGAAAGAAGGAATTGAAGAAGCTCAAGTCAATTAGTTCTAGTGTTCGTCAATAGAAAGAAAAAGGACTCACAATTTTTAGGGATCTAAGCTTCTCTAGCATGGGATCCAGGTCTTCGAATCGCTAGGAGATGGTGGTGATTCCATCTTCAATCTTCCTCACAGAAACAGATACAATGATGAAAATGATTCAATTTCTGATAAATAGTGTTTAATTGATTAGGTTAAAGATTGGCGTACCTGTAATTGTGAATTTGAAAGAGTAGATTCCGATGATCCCATGGTCAAGCGCCTTGCCTTCTGATATTATTCCGATGAGCCCATGGCGCTATGATTATCAACAAATCTCAAAGTCATGAATCTTGACATTATGTTTCTCAGTCATAATCAATCCATCGCATTTTATCGGTGATGAGATCTCGAAAAATGTAAATGATTATTTCTAGATCTCAACAAAATTATAGAAGAGCAGAGTCGGTGCATTCAAAATCGGTCGGAGATGAAATATCGATGAGGAACAAGAACTCCATATTTGGACGACTTGACGCTGATTTTAGGGGAAACCGATTGACTTGATGAGCAAATCATCTACATTGGAGGTGGAGATGAAGAGAAACAGTATATGATCCGGTGCCGGAGAAGAAGTTGATCAGGGGAATCATTAGAGAAGAAACTCGCTGCGAGGATGAGAGTAGATCGTAGGTTAGAGAGAAAGAGAGGAGAGAGAGATGATTTTAGTTTATCAGTATATTTAGGATATAATGTAATTAAATGTTTGTTTTCTATAATACCCTTGTTTAATTTAATTAAGATACCCATGCCATTTTAGTTTTCTATCTATTTACAAAAATGCCACTTTACATCTTGACCCTCGTTTTTTTTGATCTAACGCTCCACCTTTAGTTCTCGGGTTCTCAGGAAACTATAAGTTCTCAAATGATCATTCCTCTCTCTCTCTCTCTCTCTCTATATATATATATATATATATATAATATAATATATATATATATATATATATATATATATATATATATAGTCAAGATCAAATAAGAAGGAAATTTTTGGTAGGAAGGTAAGAAGTTTTTTTTCTACATATTTTTTTCGCGAACAAACAAAATGAATCATTAGATGATTCATTTGTAAGATGATTCACAAGAAAAAATTCTCAAAAAAACATCTCGATGATTCATTTATACAATGATTTTGTTGTTATTCACTAAAATTGTCATAAAAGTGAATTTTTTTCTTAATTTACTTAAAAATGAATCATAAAGATGTTTTTTTGGGAATTTTTTTATTGTGAATCATCTTACAAATGAATCATCTAGTGATTCATTTATTTTGTTCGTCAAAAAAATATGTAGAAAAAAACTTCTTACCTTCCTACCAAAAAAAATTTCTTACCGGATATTATATATATATATATATATATATATATATATATATATATATATATATATATAGGCTTAGATTATTTTGTTTTTACTAACTATTGTGTGCCAGAATGCATAGATATGGACCAACGGATGGAATTAATCAATGGACATGATTTGAGGGTGTATGATATAACAATGGGATCACATGTACCATATAATCACACAAATTTTAGCAAAATGGTATTTTGGACAATTCACTACATTTATAAAAGGAAATTTTCGGATTTTTAGGGATAATTAATTCTCCTAATTTTAAAAATCTGAATTTTTTAATTAGTTCAATTTTAATTCTAACGTAATTTTATTCTGTCAGAATATTTTTAATTAGTTCAATTTTAATTCTAACGTAATATACATAACCGATTTTATTCTGTCAGAATATTTTTTTGTTAGAATGATGTTCTTTCAGAATTTTATTCTATTAGAATATTATTGAAGAATAACAACATTCTTGAATCCGAGGTTGAAAAATAACAACATTCTAATATATTCTTATATATCCGAACTTAAATACAAATTCATACATATTTTTACAGATTAAAACCCTTATACATTTTAATATAATTATACATATTCTAAAAGAATATAAACAAAAATGAATAAAATTCTTAAAAATAACAACATTCTAAAATTGTGAGTACGATCAAACTTTATTCATTCTTCAATTTATTACTATAAGGTCTTCAACACATTCTTCCAGCCATTCATATCACAAATACAACAAAAACCAATAATGGTTAAAAACATGTTACTTGCAATTAACTATCACTTTATATATTCTGGTAGAATACATGGAATATGACAGAATACATAGAATACATTATGGCAGAATACATAGATTTTATTATGGCAGAATACATAGAATACATTCAAAAGTATCGTATTTACTGGTAATATAATTTTAGATTCCAAATATACAATAAAGAGGGACAATAGAAATTGGAATTCAAAATCACAAATTGAACCAAAATAATACACAGACAAATTAATTACCTTTTTAAACAATTACATAAAACATGTGTTGCTAGTAATTCTGACAGAATGCATACCACAAGGTTAAATTCTGTAGATTCTCAATTCCAAGTCTTTCTCTTGTTTGATCAATATTTGATTCCTTCTTCAAGCCATTCTGAAAGAATAACACGCATCACTCGTTAGTATTACTAGTTAACCAAATATACTTATTGTTAACAAACATTCTTAAAGACATTATGAAAAAATGCACCCTTGATCATAATATTTTATAAGAATAACTGCCATGAAATTTATATTTTGTCAGAATAAGTGGCATTTCGAGAGAAACATCTATTACTAAAAAAAAGAATAATAGGCAATCCAAGAGAAATATCTATTACAAAAAAAAGAATGATTAACAGGTAAACAAAGATTCTAAAAGAATCATTAAATCTTAAGTGTAGTTACCATTTAATTCTGATAGAATATATATGCAATTACCATTTATAGCATCATACAATTACGCATTACTATTGTGCAACCAAAATATATTATAAGATTTTTAACAAACATTCTTAAAGAATCATTAAACCTAAAGTGTAATTATTATTTTAAATTCTAACCGAGTGTATTCTAACATAATACACTATACAAAGCATAATGTATTCTTACAGAATCTACTATATTGTGTATTTGATTTTCCTAAAAAAACCAGTATTCTGTTAGAATACATTGTATAATAGTTTCTTTTTATTAGTATATGTAATGAAACCATGAAAACTTATCATCTATAATCAAGTTGCAGCATAAATTAATAAAATAAATAAAATTACCTAGATGAGTATATTTGTGTGTGAAGGTCCAGGAGCAATTCGAGTATTTCTCAGAAGTTGGGATGAAATATCAATGTTTTAATCATCCTTTTCTCTATTTTAGTTATATAAACATTATCACCAACCTGGAAGGTGTTAGAAAGACATCAAAAGTATTCTAAGCATGAAAAGATCTTCAAGCATAAGGTACTCATGGCGTCATTTAAAAACCTTTTGAATTTGCTATTTTATATTGCATTTCTGTATTAACACTAAAGATACATCACGTAATAAAAAAGGAATAAGGAATGTATTTCCTAAGAAAAAATATTAACCACCCATTTGTATCAAGATTTCTATGTGATTACATCTTTTTTAAACAAAAAATATTGTGATAAAAAATGAAATCCACCCACATCTTTTCTACTAGACATTTCGTCAAACACATTTAGGGCACACATAAATCATCACGATTTGTAGAATATTACTACTGAAATGAACAACTAAATGCACAAACATCAAATATATTTAAAAATAAAGATGCATTGAACACCATTACCTAATTACATATCAAAATTTCGCTAAAAAGGATATAAGAATATGATTACCTCTGATTAGAAGTAGAGAGGATGAGTGTATGATGTTTTAAGAATATGTTTACCTGATCAAATAGAGTAGTGGCAGAAAATGGTGATGAAGATGATGCTGGTGTAGGAAGATGAATAATAGAGATGTAACGAGCCAGGAATGCAAGATGAAACTGAAAGTTTTGATTTCGAGGTGGTGATGGTAGAGTTGGGGCCGATCGTTTGAAGATAAAGAGGGGAAAAGACTAGATTTTAGGAAGTTAATGAATTACCATTATTAAATATGCAAAGATTACTATAATAGCCTTACATGATTTATTATTTCCTCAATTCTCATTGGTGCATACATGCACACAATAGTTGCTAGAAACATTTGAACCTAGCTCTCTCTCTCTCTCTATATATATATATATATATATATATATATATATATATATATATATATATATATATATATATATATATATATATATATATATATATATATATATATATATATATATATATATATATATATATTAGCCGTTTACCCGCGCAAAGTGACGGGTGTGAATTGTTTTCTCGAAAATTAGTTTCTGGAGGCAATTAGTTATTTTACACAGATAGTTTACTACATCTTAACAATTATCAATAAGAGTCATGCTAGCAGAGACGAAATCAATAAGAATTAAAAATAAAAATTTGGGATTATTTACAAATATACATGAATACATGACTGATTGCACATTATTAATCGTGCAACACTTTTTTATACACCACATTTGATGTATAGACTTCACTGTCATTGAATTGTTCGTCAGAGTTTACTAATACTTTGTATTGACACGTTATATCCCTCTAAATAATGCCGAATAAAGTTGGCCATAGGAGAAAGCCAATTATGGAAGATAAATACCTACATCCGAAATTGTTTTTCCCTGAGCTTTATTGATTTTCATCGTGAAGCATAATCGAATCATAAAATATTTTCTCTTCGGCTTGAAAGGGAACATATCATCTTCAGACGGACATAGAGAAATCATTTGAAAAAATATCATCTTTCCAACATGTAGACCAACAACTATTTTTGCGTCAATGATATTGTGCTGAAACTTTTACATATCAATCGTGTGTCATTACACAATTCATTTGATGGGTCAAGATTTCATAACAGCATTATCAAGCATCAAAATTTCAGTCGTAGGTAAAGAGGGGTTAAACAACAAACACCGAGTGTGTTCAAGAATTCCACTAATGAAGATGTAAACCACTAATAGTATATCGTCTATGGCTTTATCAAAACTGTAGTAAATTCTCTATTCTCCACGGAATCGACTGATGATGATTACTTTCAATTCAACAATTAGGGTGCTTCAGGAAACATGTAATATTAAAAATATGACATATTATATTGTCAAGTATCACGAAACATTAGTTTCAAATACAGAGATCCATTATTATTTTTTCGACGAACAATATATTCTTTAATGTATTCATCGTTTTTGTATATGTTG